TACCTATATAATACTCTCATACACATACAATCGTCATTCTCTATTTACTTTTCTTTTTTTTTTCTCTTATGTCTTTCTGTATTGCTCTTATTGTGAATTTTTGTATTTATTCTGATGATGACAAAAGAATATTGTCGAAATATCAATAAATAAATACTATATGATTAGTTAAATCATAATGTTCGTTGCAGTTCTACACTTCATTTTCTCTATTATTAGAATTATGTTATTCAAGACAATTTCATTCAATACTTATTTTACCTTCCATTTCATTACAATTACGTAGTGGTCAATCTTAGGAAAGATTTATTTTAGAAAATCGTTTAAATTATACTTATGAAGATAGAAATGATTTACCTATTCTTAATTGGAAATATTTAACACAAACATTAAGACCAAATAAACATGAAAGTAAAATAGAAATTTTATCAAAAAAGAGATTGTTTATCTGAACAAAGACAAATTTATCAATTAATTTTAGTTTCTATTTTTCATTGGTAAGATGAACTTGTTTATTTTTTTCATTTATTAGATTATCAGAAGATTTTGTTCATTTATTTCTTTCTAAACCAACAATTAAATAAGATGTTAAAACAGCTACTGTTGTTCAAATTGATATTGCTGCTGACACAACTCCATCATTACATCGAGGCAAAGATAGAAAATAATCACTTAATATTAATAAAGTTATTAGACATATTGAACGAAAAAGGATGAAATCATATAGAATTTCATTCGATATTAAGATTAAAAAATTTCTTTGTTTATTTTTCTGTATTTATTAAATCAAATTTTCTTTTGTATAGAATTTAGCTTGATCGGATAGTGAATGTTCATTATCAAATGAACTTCGTACAGTTGTAGCTAATGTTGTTGTCAAAATTGCTTGTATATTATCTAATAATTCAAATAGATTTTAATTAAAATGATTTGTTTTTTTTTTTGTATGAGTGATAAAGATAATTTAGAACAATTAGATAAAATAAATCCAACATTTGAAAGATTTAAAACTGCCAAAGATACAAAATAGAAATCAATTAAAATTGAATATTGTTGTAAAAGGAAAACCAAAACCAAAAATCAAAAAAAAAAAGATAAAGCAGAAATTGAAGAAACGACTAATAAAGATAAAATCAGTAAAATAAAAGAATCTAATGACACATATTTATATATTCTTGAAATTTTAGTAAGATTTTTAACTTTAATTAAAATAAAATCAATTTATTGTTCTTTGTTTGGAATGCTACTTCAACTGATAATAGTGTTTATAAAATCTTAACTAAAAATGATGTTGGTGATTATCAAGCTTTAGTTAATTTAACACTCGATGCTGATACTCAACCACAGTAAGAAGACCATTATTTATGAATTGTTCTGAAAGTTCATTGTTTTCTTCTCTGTAGGAAAAATGAACAAGAAAGAAAAGCAAAACCAGCCAAAATAGCTGCTAATAAAATGACAGGACCTATATTTGGCGATAAACCAAAGGAAGTTGCATGTCATCTAATCCGTTTATCTTTTCATAATTGCTCTCTTTTTTCTCATATTTTTAGACACCTAATCATGGTGATAAAGTACAAATTCAATGTAAAATAACGGGTTCACTAGCACTTGAAATTACATGATTTTTCAATAAAAAAAGAAATTAAACAATCAGCTGTAAGTTTATTTACATGAAAAGGTCATCAGAGTAAACACTCGTTTTGTTTTCGTTGAATCTCGACGAGTTCTTCAATATATGTGACATATACACCACTAGATAGAGAAAGTACATATATATATATACAATTCTGTATTCAAAACCTTATAGTCGTCTTTATTCTCTAGATTGAGCATCATTATAAATATTCTGTAGTCAATTTTTGTGTTTGAACAGCAGTGATCTGATAGATAACATTGGTATGATCTAGTACACTTCTACTTATACACAAACAATTCGTCATCGTATAGATCTTTCAATTGGAATTAATAATTAGTATTTCTTGTGCTATTTATCATCAAAAGATCGATCTTTTCTCCACTAACTTTAAGTTTTTTTTTTTCAATTTATAGTTGCTTGAGTTTGATTTTTAAAGATTGTTTTTACTTTATAGTCGTTTGTCCTTAATGTAAATCGAATTCTCTATAATAAAAGATCAACCTACTTTCGATTATTAATAAGAAGGATTGATGGAAAAACTTATATTCTTCACAAAATTTAATTCATTATCAAGAACTATGTGTGCTATACTCTTACTGCTGATTTCACATTTGTAATAACTGTTTAGTATTATTATTTCATTAATATCAAGCAAAGACTTCTATAGTATCATTTATCTGAACAGATTATCAAAAGATATTTTTCTTTCTATACTTTGATGTCAATAACTGTTGATTCCAGCAACGATTCCAATTTCATACATATTGATTATTAAATACAAAAGGTTGAATACATCTTTTCTCATTGCTAACATACGAATACACAGACAAATATATCAATTTTGCGCGATGCCTTTATTTCTTCTAATGGCCTGAATAAGAATATAAATAAGAGAAAAAAAAAATTCCTAAAATTCTACATAAAAATAAAAAGCTAGATTAAAATCACAAAATGTCTGTTTGTGTTTTGTTTTTTTTGAATAAATTATTTATTCCACAGTTACAAGGAATGTTCGAATTTCCATTGGATTAAGTATAATATTTAAATCTTCTAATGATATTTCTTCTAAAAGAAAAACAAAAAAAAAAGAAATTTTAAAAAAATTAATACTGAACACATACTTAAAATATTCATTTTAGATAATGTCTTATTTGTAGTTGACCATTGAAGTCTTTTCATATTATTTAATGGTAAATTACCACTAAGCGTCAATTCAACTATATCAATAATTATTCCTTGAGATTGAAATATTTTTTGTAAATCAAATATAACTGAATTTGAATATGTATCATCTTCATTTAATTCAAAATAATGTTCAACACGAATTAAATATTGTTTTGTATCTAATTGATCGAATGTCAATAAATGTATATTTAATGGTAAATCATTTTCTAATCCTGACCATGTTTGATGATATGTTGTTGAATAGTTAACATATGATAATTGAGGTAATGCATAGGTAGCAAGTGGATGCATATATAATTGTTGAGAGCCAACTCGATGATAGAGAGCACTTGATGCAGGTGATTCAATAATAAGAAAATGTCTACCACGAACAACAAGACCATCATCAAAAGCTGTTTCATTTAAAGGTTCATCAACACCAAGTGCATCATCATAAAATGTACGTCTATGTACCATAATTTCAATAGATCCATCATAAATACTACTACCACCTTCGGATCGATCTAAATAAAGAAAAAAATTTGCAAGTCTAAACTATTTGATTTCTTTATCGAGGTTGTTTTTTTTTGTTACCAGTAAGAATAGTAAATTGACGATTTGGTTCTTTAATCCATATTCGACTATTTATTGGATAATAATTTCCACTTACAGATTCAACTTTTGAATAATTCCATGTTGGTCGATAATCTCGTATACGTTCAAGAACTTCACGTCCATTTGCATCAGTATAAAATTTTGATTGACTTTTAATATCTGTATCATAACGAAGAATAATTTCTTTACCAATATTATCATCAATTGGTATAGGTCCAACTGTCCATTCTACTTCAAGTATATTTGCATTATCATATAAATTTATTTCTTGACTTGTCCAATCATTAAAAACGATGATTGCTGATTGAACAGTTGCTGTTTTAATACATGTTCTAAGTAAGAAAGAGAAAAATTTCGATAATCAAACTAAATGAATCTACTTACATTGAACGTTTAGTGCTTACTGGTTGAGGGTCTGATGAATTTGGACGAAATATATAAGCACCGGATGCTTGGAATTCTGCTCGAGAATTATTACCCGCAAAGCCTAATATATAATGTGAATATACAGTTTATAGATAGATGTGCGCTTACTTGTATACCAATAAAAACCTTGAGCAGTAAATGGTACAACTATATTCTTTTTCAAATTTATAATCTTATTTAAATTTCCTTGACAATCAAATTCAACTCGAAGATACTATAAATAAATTTATAAAAAAAAAAAGAAAATTAAGAAATTATTTTCATCTTTTACTTCATTTTGAAGAATACATTTATCATCTTTTGTTATAATTATTTCTTGTTCATCATTTATTTTATTGGTTAGAAGAGTATTATTTTTAACTTCAAAATAATATGTATTAAAACCAAGTGCTGGTAAAATAGCTTTAAAAATAAGTTGATTCATAGCAAAACTCTTTCGACCAGGAATTTTCTTTGTTGGTTCTGATATTGGAATAAGCTAAAACAAACAATCAAAGACATCATCATTTAAACGAATTGCTTTATATTATTGTATCTACATCAGCTAAAATAACATGTCCTGTTGAATCAAGTATTGTATAATTTTTTGTTACAGGAACACGAACATGATGAGAAATAGTATGTCCAGTTGGATTCCAAAGTGTCAAGGTAAACTATTACAAATCAAAAGAGAAATAAAAATACAAAAAAAAAAAAAATGTTTGTATACGAACTCGATCTTGTCCTTCAATAGGTAAACATTCACTAATATTTGTTAATTGACAAAGAAATTGAGGTACATTGGGTAGTGATTGATTATCTTTAGGCAAAAGTTTATCATAAGCTTTATTGATAACATCCTAAAATTTAAATAATTAGAGAAACTATTCAATTTATGTTTCTTTTCTTTTTTTTGTTTTCTTTGCAATACAAATGTTTTCATCTTGATCACTTACCACTGCAGCATCAATACCTTCGGCTAATCGCATAGCATAATCAAAAGCAACTTCTTGTTTTTCTGTTCCACTAACTGCATCATGATGTTGTACAACACCCATTGCTTCGCCTATTATTAACAACATGTTCAAAACATAGAAACATTCTTTTTTTTTATCAAAAAAAGAAACAAAAATCAATATCTTACTCAAACGAAAAATACTATTACGTAAATTTGTATTAGCAAATGCATTCAATTGTCGAGTTACTTGTAAAATATTATTTGAATGACGTTCATAACGTTTAAGAGCTGCTCGTGATGTAAAATAACCTGTCCAAAATCCATGTGGATGATGAGCATATGGAAAAAAATCATCGGTTTTTATTGTCCAACTACGACCAACTTTGTTCAATGCATATAAATAACATGATGGTGTTGAATAGAATACATTTACATTACTTCCATTTGCTTGCTAGAATTTATTTTTATTAATAGATAAAAAAAAACTATTTCGAAGAAAACATTTAAAAAAAAAAGAAATTCCTATACTTCAGCATTCACATATTTAATTAATTTATCTAAATTTTTAAACCAATGATTTGCATTTCCATATTGAAAATCACTACCCATTGTCATAATAATATGATTTGTAGCAAATGCAAGTGCCTTTAAAGAAAAAAACAAAAGAAACTTTTTATAATTGATTCTTCTAGAAATATACGAACTTCATCATGAGCAATTTGAATAAATTTTTGAACACGTTCAGGAACATTATAATCATGTAATCGAGGGTCATCCTATAAATTTACATTTAAAAATAATTAAAGTTTTTCTTTTTTTACAAGAAAAATATTAGCAAAAAAAAAACAGCATCGCACTATAATAGATTTATCATTTCAGAAAAGATCGAAAGCAAAAATGAATTGCTGATGTGTAGATATTAAATAAAAAACAAGTGTAAAACCATACACATTATCTGTAAGTAAAAGAAAAACATGCATGTATCAAAAGAAAACGATTTTACAAGCAAAAGAAAAATAAAAATATACAAAATAAATTAACTAACCATAATGGGTTCACCATCACAAAAGATGTCAAAACAGAACGAACCCGGAGGACCATATCCATTCGGTAAAACACCCGTAAATAACCAACTTTGATCACCTACAAATATTTATAAGATTATTATTATTATTATTACTAATTAGAAATAAATTATCTTCTAAATACTAAAATCTATTTCATATGACTTACATACCTAAATTAGTACTAGCTTGCCAAATCATTTCCATAGTTCTTATTTTCTGACGTTGTTCAATATCTTGATAATCAGCACGACCAAAAAATAAACCATCAAAACCCATCTATAGATATTTCATAATAATATCCTAGTTAATTCTATGAAAAAAAAAACCAACGATTACTTGTGCTAAGATTGAAGCTTGTTCACGTGAATGACCAAATGGATCAATTTGCCAGCCAATTTTTGGTCGAGCACATTCACCAAATTGATCACGTAAAAATTCAGCACCTAAACTATGTTGATCAATAATTGAATTATAATGTGTTGATGCTTCATCATTCATACACCAACCACCAGAAATAAATTCCAAACGACCTAAATCATAAATTATTTTTCATTGTTTTTCTTTTTATCAAAATTTAATATAAAATAATTTACCTTCGTTGACAAAGTTTTTGACTTTAGTACGTGTTTCATTTGTTTGTTGATTCCACCAACGCCAAAAAAAAGCTATTTCAACATAAATAAAACGTCGATCAGGATTTTCTTCAAGTGCATGTATAACAGAATCGAGAATATATTGCACACCAGCATGTTGAATATTTTCACGAGCTTAAAAAAGTCTTATTCAAATGTAAACAATGAAATGAAAATAGATCAAATACCTCCATAATAGTATTGATCAACTGTTTTTAACCATCCAACATCATCATGTGTATGTGGAACAATATGAACATTGAGTTTATTTGGATCACCTAAATTACATGCCTAATACATGAAGATTATGTTTAATTTCTGAATATACAATATTCCTAGAATTTATCTTACATCATAACCACAGCCATTGGATGACTTAACCGGTACTGTAATACAAAGAGAAATAATAAGAAATAGAAATGTACAATAAGTTGAAATGCACATTGTTTAAAAAACAAGCCACAACTATATAAAAATGTAATTTATTTTTATGAAAAATTTACAATGAAACAAATTCACCGTTTGTGGTTTATTGTAGAATATAAAAACTACTGGAATATTATGTATCACAGTTTTGATATAAAATAAATCTATAAGGCTAATAATAATAAAAATGAAATTTGTCAAAATGAAATGAATACATTTTCACAATTTTAATTAATATAGATAATAAAAAAAACAATACACAAAAAAAAAATGAGATGGAATAAGAAGAAAAAAAGATAAACGAAAGTTTGTTACAATAAATTGATTTTGGACACATCTTCTCTTCAGAGAAAAAAAAAATCATTGTTAAAATAAACATAAAATAATCAGTTCTTTTTGATATGATCAAAATTTAATAGAATGATTACAAAAAAAAAATCTTTAAAAGATAAAACTTTTGTTCGAATGTAATCAATTTCCATTTATCCATTGTAACAAAAATACATTTCACCATATTACTCAGTAAACAAAAGAGAAAAAAAAACGAGTTTGCATACAATAAAGTACGTAAAGGTAAATATAAACATATCTATAAATATATTGTATTACTCATCATTTTCTCCAATTTGTTTTTTAATTTTTTCTACCATTTGTTTATCTAATGTTTTTTGTCGTGATTGAACACTTGCTATAGAAAGTAAACCAATAGAAAGTATAATTCCTTCAAATAACCAAAAATTTTGTTTTTGAATATGAATTGGTATTGGACATGAACGTAATGTTTTTATATTTGATTTCGAACAAACTATAAATTCTCTATAACCTGTTGGTAAACAACCAATTGCTTTTGAACGACGTTCAAATGATGTACATTTTTGACAATATGTTATTATATCTATTGGTTCAGTTAGATAACATGTACTTATTTGTTGTTCTTTATCTGTTGAAATATTTGATGAAGAAATTGAATAATAGGATGTTACAACACGACCAAGAACTGTTGATTGTAAATGTGCAATAAATAAAACACTTATTGTTACAAAAAAAAGAGCAACAAGACCAAAAATAAGACGACGACGTGTTACGAAATCAAACATGAGAAAATTCTTATCTAAAAATAGAGATTTCTGTTTGTTTGTTTTTTTTTTATATCTGATAAAAAACGTAATTTGATTTATTTATACTAATTACAAGTACAAACACATTAAAAGAAGAATAAAAAAAAAAGATACGATATTAAAACTTAAGAAATCTTGCGAAATATTTATGTTTATTCATTCGACATAACAATTGTTTCCAACTTAAAACTAATTAGTCACAATATGGTATACTGTCTCTTAGCAAAAAAAATCGTTTCGTTCCGCCTATCAATAGTAGATGCATTTCTCACTATCGACATCTGTAGAAAAAATTAAAAGAATTCTAATTTATTCTAAATTAGTATAAGATAAGAAACAACTTAACATTAATCTTGTTTGAAGGAAACGCTTTTGTGTTTCGATACTCATGACGGAAAAGATTAGTCCTTTACTAATAATAAAAAGGACTAAAAATATTATCTGTTTGTTATACCTATAATACAGAAAAAATATAGAGGCTAGTACTATCGAAAAGTCATTTGCTTCGAACAGATCTCTGAAAAATTCGCCCCAAACTAGGCGTTATATGTTCGAATCAGAATAAAATTCTGAATTGTTCGATATATTATCACCCCCAAATAATTCGTTGCTCGATATTTACAATCAAAGTGCATCAGTCACTTTCAAATCTATTATAGAAAGCATGAATCATTGACTCTGAATATCTTACCAGTACGGTTTCAATTCGTTCGATCAGAACAATCAGTATCTAATTTAAAAAGCTGTACATCGATATTCGTATTGGTAAGTTCATTATCCAATCAAATTCTAATCAGTGATCTGTATTGAATTAAAATCAAAATTAAAATTATAAACGTTTAATAGTAAAAATAAAAATAAATCAATCTCTAAAAACTTTTAAAAATTTCATAAAAAAAAAATATTTAACCAATCATGACAAAGAACTTGAACTCCACCATCTCTATTCATTCATTTATTTTATTTGTTTTTCTTCTTACATTCATTATTCCAAATATTTGTGGTATAATTTTCAGATCTATATATTCTTATCTGTTAATTAAATATGGATTTAACTACACAAAATGGTAATAATAACAATGGTATTTTATTCACAGGTGATGCTATTCTTAGTCCAAACGGTCATGAAAATGTTTCAGATTCACTTTTGGATACATCAGAAATGGGTGATGAAGACCTTGAATCAATGCGTAAACGTATAAGAGAAATGGAAGAAGAAGCTGAAAAATTAAAACAAATGCAACTTGAAGTAGAAAAACAAATGCAATTACCCAGTACACCGGGTACACGTAAGAATTGATTTTTATTTAAATGATTATTTATTTATTTATTTTTTTTTTTGTTAATTGATTTAGCTACATTTCCAACAATTGAAGAAAAAATGGAAGCTGACCAACGGTCAGTTTATGTTGGAAATGTATGTCCAAAAACAAACAAATAAAGAAATTCTATACATATTAATTTTTATATTGACGTTTTCTTTTTAGGTTGATTATTCAGCAACAGCACAAGAACTTGAAAATCATTTTCATGGTTGTGGTTCTATTCATAGAGTTACTATTTTATGCGATAAATTTACTGGACAACCAAAAGGGTATGAACGAAAAATAAAAAAAAAAAAGGAATTCTTGTTTAGAGATTCTCTAGTGAAATCGTTGATCATTATTTCTCGACGAACGAAACAACATTAGCTAAAGTATCTATATTGCAATAGAACAATTGTTTATTTTGCTTTCAACTGATAATACGTCATTACCGATATTGGAAATCTTAGAATAAGAATAGTATCTTTGCAAAGAAATGAGTGTATAACTAAACATGAATAAATTCTTAGACAATAGAAAAATGTCATTTGGTGTTTCCGAATAATTTGTATTTTTTCTTAGAATCTCAAAACTACGAAAGTATATGTATATAAAATATGCAAGGGGAAGAAAAGTGAGACTTCATTCATTATCTAGGTTCTATCTAAGGAAGAATACCTCTGTCTTTCAGTTACCTTCCGATATGGAGTGCTGTCTAGCTGTGGATTCAATAGCCAGATATCTCCCTTACAATTCAGACTAGCTGTGGTTCTAGACAGAATGCCGGTCTTACCCTCCCTATACACATTAACTAACTACAAGAGCAAGTGTATGTCACAACGTAGTCAGCATACTATCAGACGGATAATCCAAGAGAAATAGCCGTTAATAACTAGTCTAGAGTCACTCGATTTGACATTTGCAGACAATACCTTGTGGACACATATCGAACAACGTAGCTACTCAGCCATGACGGCTTTGTATTTGTGACCTGGGTTTCTACAACTAGAGAAGTCTGATGCTGACTATAATGTACGAAAAGTCTGACATTTTTGGCTCTTTAGTAAAATATATGCTTTTTTTTAACAACGTTCGTTTTCAATAAAGGTTTTGGTGCATTTTAATCAGCATTAGATCTCTTTAAACCTAGCAAAATAGCTCGAACTCGAGAAGAAACATCCATGAGCATGTCTTATCCTAAGGTTTTTCTAATCTCAATAGGATCTAGATAATGAGCAAAGTCTCAATTCAAAAGCAATTTATCATATCGTGATATTCCTTTGTTATTGTTTTCAAAAATCATTTGTAAAATTAAGCATTCAGTTTTATAGAACATTTCATTGATGTTTGTCTGCAAGCTTATTGCATATTCTATTCTTTATTTTAGCTTTGCTTATGTTGAATTTGCCGATAAAGATTCTGTACAGACTTCTCTTGCTCTTGATGATTCATTATTTAAAGGACGCCAGATTAAAGTAAATATATTTATAATTAAGTTTAACATTTATTAATATAGAAAATCTAGGTAACTGAAAAACGAACTAATCGTCCTGGTGTATCAACAACTGATCGACCTCCTCGTGGTGCACTACGTGGTTTTGGACGTGGTCGATTTCCACGTGGTGCTGCTTATATGCCATTTATAGCAGCAACTTATCGAGGTCGTATTGCTCGACCATTTTTTCGGTAAAAATAATATTTATCATAAAATTCTTATATATGATTTTTTTTTGTTTTTAGTGGTCGTGGTCGATCAAGTTACTTTTTTTCACCATATTAAAATGATAAAATTCAATCGAATCGGTTTTGTTTCATCATTATCCTTCTTTTATTTTCACTCGTACGAAATAGGCTCTCAAAAAAAAAAAAGAACACCTGTCTTTGGACAACAATATATGCACACCTGTTTCGTTCGGTGAGAATATATACAATGTTCTTTGTCTTTGTTTTTTCTTTCTCTATCACTTGTAGTTGTTTTTTCTGTACGTATAAATCGATATGTCTACTTATTCTCATCATCGTGGCAAAAAAAAAAAAAAATTGTTGTATAAAAAACAAAAGAAAAAAATATGAAAAGCCACTAAAATTTCTGTTTATCACAGATAAAAAACAAACAAAAAAAATGTCTAATAATATGGATTTTACTTTGTCGAGTTTCCTTTTTTTGTTTCATCATTTGAGAATTATCAAAGACTAATCGATTTTTCTTTTTATTTAAAAAAAAAAAGATATATAGGACATTGTCGGTGGACTCATGTATTGGCTACGTCTTGATCTACTACATTCGGCTTTTCATACTTATCTAAAAAAAAGAAAAAGAAAGAAAAGAAAAAAAAATTTAAAGATGAAAAGAAAAAAGAATAAAAAAATTTAAACTTAAAAAAAAGGAAAAAAAACTTGAATATAAAAAAAAAAGGAAAAAAAGTTGAATATAAAAAAAAGGAAAAAATATGCAAACATAAAAAAAAGGAAAAAATATGCAAAGATAAAAAACAAAAAAATATTAAAAAAAAAAAGTAATGAAATAAGAGAATCAATGAAATAATCTTCACTATCAAGAACAATCAAAATGAATCTCAATGATAAAGTAATGTAATTTCTGGTTTTTGTTTATTTTTATTCTTTATTTTTTGTGATTTGTATAATATATTTTTTTTGAAATTTGTAATTTTTTGATATATGTCTTATTCTTTCATGAGTAAATTCTAACACAAACTTTCAATAACTTTTAAAAGAATGTTCTAAGAACTGTTATTCAATCAGTATATTCTGAGATTCATGAAACAGCTGAAAAACTGTTTTGCCACCGCCACGACAAAGACCTGGTTACGTATGAGTAAATTGTGGATCGATTTTAGTAGGTCATTTCAGGAGTACTTAGTGAAGTATGACCACTATCATGAACGGTTGAATATGTTGCATCGGTAACGTCAGGTAAATGAATAGGCGAGTTGAGGTGTACACATGCTATCTATCTACACGGAACGAATCATCAAATCTCACATGATCTTGTACTCTACACGGTGGTTTGCGGATCTCTGCTATATATATGAATGTATTTGATATATATTCAGAAAGAGTGAGCATAAGGAATAATCGTCGAAAAAAAAAGACTCACGAACATAATTGATCAAAAGAAGTTCAGTGGTCTTCTTTTCGATGATGAGGTACAGAACATATAATTTTTTTTCTCATTTCGTTGACAAGTTTTTTTCTCTTGACAAATTGTATTTTAATAATTATGTGTTTGATCGATGAATTAAGGTACGAGCAATAGAGAACACTGAAAATTACTGCTTGTTTATTAAAATTTAATTAAATATATGACTAATCACAATATTTTTGTTTATTTTTATATAATAAAATTTGATAAGAAGAGGTGAGGGTTGTAGTGACCTGTTAATCTGTATTGACACGCACACCCTATGAAACACTACGTAGTAGTGATTCATTTCTCCAGTATATGATTACTCTCTAAAAAAAACAAAGAAATAAATAATCGTTATATGTTTGATTAATTGGCCTTTAACTTATCGACCCAACGGTTAATTATTAGATTGTACTCTGTCGAAGAAAGAAAAAGTTGTCAACAGCAACATGGGAGAAAAAATGGTAGCAATAAATGTTTTACTAATCTTATTAAAATATTTATCTAGTGACAGAGAATCTTTTTCATATCGTTTCATTAAATCAAGAATCCGTTGATATCAAAGTGTAAATTTTTCTTTCGTGAAGACTTGTTCATATTGTTGTCAAGTTGTTTCATTATAGCCATGGTGAATGCATAGTCTTTCTTTAATTCGTCAATTACTACATCTAAGTGTGAAATTGGAGATGATAACATTTGCATTAAATCGATGGTGCCAGTCCTTCAGTTTGCATGCTGTGTCTATGCTGATGTAGGAATAGAGAAGATCAATGCCTACATTCACACCCGCTAATCGAAAGCATTTTTTTTCCAGGCTTTCTACTGGTGGAAGATTTGACCAACTTTTCTAATTCAGCTATAACGTTTATTCAAGGATTAGCGTTTTGAAGAGTAAATTTCATGAAACAGAAAGTGATTTATATAGATGCCTGAACATTTTATTTGTTCTACTCATCAATAAATAATTTTTATTTTAACATGTGCTCTTGTGTTACATTGTACTTTATAGATGTTCAAATACATATAAAAATAACAGTGAAAACAAAAATCTAGCAGCAAGTTGTAACTTTATTGAGATTAAAGGAAATCATATCTATGGGTCTTTCTTCTTGAATTATGCTAATCTTAGAGAGTTTTTTTTAACAAAATATTATGCTTCTTCTTATATATCATTGTAAAATTATTAGATTGTTTAATTGAAATTTGAACGTTGATTATAAATGTGATCTGAAAAGAAATTTGAAAAATTAATTAATATAGTCATAAAACTAGATGAAATATCCATAGATAAGAATTCTTTTTGACTTGATCTAATTTCAATAAGACTTACTCAATGAAATAAAAACTTATTCTAAAAACAATCTATCATTTAGTAGGATTCTTTTTTTTCTTTTTGTATAATAATTTATACTACAAAAATTTGTTGTTTTATCAAAATAATTAAATTGATATTTAATATTATGAAAAATGTTAATCGAAATTCTAATTTCTATTATCTGAAATTTACATTTTTGCAATAGTACTATCCAACTGTACTATATGGTGTAATTTACAAACGAAATTCAAAACCTTTTGATATATACAACATGACATTTATCATTTTTGCTATTAACGATAATTCTCCTATCTAATATTATTGATACATGACAATCTACGTCAAAGTGTGTAAAATTATGGATAAATATAGAAACGTATGAGTCATTCATTATATACAAAATAAAAAATGTTATATTCATATGAAGTAGGAACTGTTTCTTTATAAATTTCAAATAAAAAAGCAATCAATCTTTGCTTATGTAGTTTATTTTACTATGAAAAAAAAAAAGAAAAGTACAAAAAAATAATAGATCATATAGTGAAAAAAAATAATTGTTACACTTCAATAGTTTTTTAGTCAGGTTTTCTTATGATATATTTGACATTGCTTATTCTTCAACATACGTCATACCTCCTACGTCTCATTCGTACTTCAATCATAGGCAAACGTAAAGAACGAAAAATCATGTTTCTTTCGAACAAAATACATTTACGTTGTCATAAGTTCTTATATATTAATATTTATATATATATATATTTTTTTTATTGTGCATAAATATATCTAATTATCAACATATATGGATAATAAAATAGAATTTGACATTTCATCTCATGATGGTCTTCGACTTGCTGGTTATAATTGGTCATCTTATCAACATTCAGATTCACCAATTGCTGTAATAATATTTTTACATGGTGTTGCAGAACATTGTGGACGATATAAACATTTTACACATTTTTTTAATGAAAATAATATAGCAGTAGTTTCAATGGATCTTCGTGGTCATGGTTTAAGTGAAGGAGAACATGTTTTTATACCAACAGCTGAAGCTATATATAAAGATATTGATTTATTAATAGAAGAAACACGATATCGATATCCATCATGTCCAGCTATTCTTTATGGACATTCAATGGGTGGATGTTTAGCATTATCTTATACACTTAATCGATATCCTAATGTATCAGATAAATGTCCATATCAAACAATAATAGTATCAAGTCCTTGGATTCGTTTAGCTAGATTTCTTCAACCTCCTTATCCTATTCATTCAATAATTCAAACAGTTAGTCGAATTAGTCCATCATTAAGATTTCCACTTCGATTTAAATCAACTAAAATAACACGTGATGAAAATATTGCTTATTCTTATAATGAAGATCCTTATATACGTCGATCAGCAACATTATCACTTGCTCATACAATGGGTAGTCAAGCAAAAATGCTTGATCAATCAAAATGTATATTTCATATACCAGTTTTAATTCAACATGGAACTGCTGATGCAATAACAAGTCATGATGCAAGTTTAAAATTTGCTCATCGAGGAAAAAATATTTATTTTAAAAGTTGGCCAGATTGTTATCATGAATTACATAATGAACCTGAAAGAGAAGAAATATTTCATTTTATATTACATTGGATTTATGAAAAAATTATTGTTTAGATTATAATTCTACTTCAAAAAAAAAACAAAGAAAAAGAAAGATATTATTATATGTATTAAATTTTACTTTTTTTTCTATTTTGTATATATTTGTTGATTTTTTTTATCTATTATTTTATTCTAAAATTTAAAAAAACAAAAATATACATATTTGTGTTAATATTACTAATCAGTTATCATTTTGTAACTAGATTTTTTTTTTCATATTGTATTGTTTATCTATGAGAGTATGCCTTTTTTATTTCCTTCAATTACAAATACTTGACAGCGTAGACTAATTGAATGGTTCTCTCCTTCTCTTTTTGTTTCTGTCTACCATACTTTGTTTATTTCTTAATATATTAATATAAAATAAGAAGATTATGAAATGTACCATATCTAATGGCATATTCATCTTAGATAATAAATAAAACTGAGAAAATAAAAAAATTATGTTCATTATTATTTTCTTTTAATCTCAAGTCATATCTACACTATACGAAAGGAAATATATTGACCTACTATAAAAGTTAATCATGTTATATATAAACTCAATACAACCATATTGACAACATATATTTATTATTAATTCCGCCTATCGATAATGAATAAAACATTTGTAATTATTGTACTGAAAAATTTGTCACTAATTAATCAACATATATATTAATTTGAAAATAAATATGTAAAAGAATGATATAATAAAATTATTGTTTTATTTAGATACAATATTGATATATAAACAAAAAGAAAATTTTTTTTTAAAATATACAACAGAAAACTGATATTATCTTTTGTAAATCGTTACATATGAGAATTTAGATATCAAATGATGTAAATTCGACTATTTTCAAATTTCTCATTCAATAAATAATCTTTGTCTTATTCTATCTCGTTGATTATCTTGAATGATAGAACAATACTTTAAACTAAACTGTAAATTATTAGAATACTAGTTGAAATGCTGTATAGCTTAACATAAATAATCTATAGTGCAAAAGTCTTCACACAGAATATTCGCTCATTATAAAAGACAACTTGTTACAGTCAAAATGAGAATTTTTCGCTATTTCCGTATATATATTCAGATCATTTTTATTTTTTAAGGTAAGTTCAAAATTGTATCTATATGAAGTAAGAGATTACAATAAAACGAAATCTCATCTATGCGCTTCCACTAAAGAGCAAGTTTCTATGGAAATCGACATAAGTAAAAAAAAAAAGTGATTGGTTTTAAAAAATACAAAAGTAAATAGTACGCTTTTATAAAGCAACAAAACTATTTCGTATTTTAAATTTAATAGATTTCAATCAAAACAGTATTTTATGCAATCATTATTTTGAAACAATTTGATCAGTTGTCTAATCTTAATTCAAAAGAAAATTCTAAACATATATTCAGAAATAACAAAAAAATTACTTCTACCACTAACTCACTGCCTTTAACTAGCTGAAAAATGAGTGAAGATTTTGTGTGAAGACTTTGATGCTTTAGTTTTTTAATAAAATCAAAGAGAAAATTTATTTCAACATAAAAAAAAAAAAAAAAATATATCTTATTTTTATTTTCTAAACTTTAATTATTATCTAAGGTCAATATAAGATGTCGAGTATTTCATACTCTTCTTCTTGTATATAATATATTAAGAAATCAAAAGAAAGAAATTCAAATACAGCCTTCAACAAAATTCGGTACAATATTTTCCGACAGATCGTCTAGCCTTAATAATTACATTTTGTTTTTTTATTTTTTCTATGAATAAAAATAAAATGTCGGACAATTATTGTCTATAAGATGAATTTGATTTATACAAAAAAACAAATAACATTTATTATCCTAGTCGAGTTTAAAAAAGAAACATCTTTTCATTTTCATGTTTCATTTATAACTAAAGGCGTTATTTACTCTTAATATGTGTCATATGGCATCATTAATAGAGTTCACTATCAATAAACCATTTCTCTATGTATAATAAATAATTTGTACTGATTTCATTTTAATCGAGATATTGAATGATGATGATTGTAATTTATTAATCTTCGAAATTATTAACTATAAAAATATAACATACTATGATTTTTTTTTCTGTATATTAATAAAGCTAAATAAAGTACTCGATATTTATATATATATAACAAGCACGTCTATACGTCTGTAACAAAGAGAAAAGAATGTAAGAAGATAAATAAAGCACTTCTACTTTATTTGGGGGAAAAACAACATCATATATAGAGAAACAAAAAAAAAAAAAAGATATATAAATATCTTTTCTTTCTTTAAATGCCTAAGAAATAAAACAAACAATGAACAAAACAAATCTCTTAACATATATTGTGATTATAAATATGTCAATAGAAATATAATATAAATAAAGGCAAAAGCCTCGAGATGAACTTATATGAATATCATAACAAATCTATTGATTATCTTACAAAATAAATCTATCTATAGAAGGAAAAATAATGATAGACAACTAGTTACTCAATAAGATATAAGAAAAAGAAAGAACAATAGTAGATAAATCTAACAGAACGCCTGATATATGTCTTATCCTAAGTTGATTTGTCGACAAGAAAGAATCATTTGACGTTATAAAAACACTTGGTAATTGCTTATACACATTTATTTTCATCATTGTTAACGTTATCATTTGTCTATTGAGTTGATTATAGTTTGTTTTGTTTTGATTAGAATCTATTTATTTAAATACAAAACAAAAAAAAAGTTAATTTCATCAAATAAAAAAAAAGGTAAGTTGATCTCTTTCAATAACAACAATCACAGCAAGATAAATTTATGAATAAGAATGTTTATTTATTATTCTCATTAATATCTTACTTTTAATTGCGACCTTGTTCTTCATCACTCATCATTTATAGAGAAAATAGTAGTACTTGATATAAATGTTGTTCTTTTTTTTTTTTCCTAACAAATATCAACAATCTTTCATCTCTTACCATTGACATTGGCCATCTTTGATTATTTAAGGACAAATATCTTATTTTGCTTTTTTTTTTTTTGTCTTACTAATTTTTCCAATATTAGCAAAAAAAAAAAAAAGGATAATCGACCTGGAGAGGTCTTATTAAAAAGCTAGAAAGACAAGAAAAAAAGAAATGCGCGAGGTGGTTACATTAAAGATCTAGACACTAGTAATAATAGGCAAAGAGAAAAGAACGATTAAAGATGGTCTTCGATGACATATGCTTATTTGGAGAGAAACAGAGAAAATTGATGTGTATCATCATCATCGGAAGTACTTTCTATCATTCATTTCGAAAAACAAAACAAAAGTTATTATATAATTTCGTTTTTCTTTAATTTTTTAGTATAAATATGACAACAACACCAAATGAATTTCTTCAATTTGCAAAAGAAATGGGTCTCGGTCAAATAAAATCAACTTCATTAACATTATCAAATAATAATAATAATAATAATAATAATGGTTGTACACTAACTGGTTTATCTGTACTTAATAACTTATGTCATCTTATTGAAGACATACATAAATTAAAAGCTGAAAATGAACGTTTACGTGCTCATTTGGATTTAATTAATCAGGCCGAAAATTTTTTATTAAAAACTGAAGAAAATAATAAATTAATAAATCAAAAACAACGAAAAAAAATAATACATTCAACAGTATCCATTGATGATGGTGAAGGTGATTTATACGAAGAAAAAAGTTCGACACTATCACCATCAAATTCATTAAAAATTAAACAAGCTGATTTATCTACTCAATCATTAACGAATAGAGAACGACAGGGTATAGTAATTTAAAAAAATTAAAAAAAAAAAAAGATTTTTTTTTTTCTTAAACTTGAGAAGAAAATTACAATTATATCTCTTACATTTCTAAGCAGACAAACAGATACACAATCATAGCAAATTATTTCGTACATTTAATGAAATCGATATTTATTTATTTTTTTGGTTCAATTATAAAAATCTTTATCTAATTGTCGATCTTTTGATATTTACTTTTTTTTTCTGATTTTCTCGTTTGATACAATAAATCATTCTTATGTTTTGCAAAAGATTATTATTCATGTACAAAAAACAAAAAAAGGATATTCTAATGATTGATAGTAACAGAAACACTTCGTAGTTAATCAAAACTGTCAACTAAAATGATTTGATCTAACAACATATGTTATTTTCATAAAAAAATTTTCTATTAAATATAATATATATATCAGTATGTATTTCTTTTTTTTTTTTTGTTTTAAAGGTGTGGATTTGATAAATAATCATGAAGATTTATCATCAATATCAGGTATTATTGATCATGAGCAATCAAAATTGATCGATAATAATTTAGGTATACAGAAAAAAAACAAAAACAGAATGATACTTTTTTATTTTATATATATATTTTTTTTCTTTTTTATCAGGTGTATCTAATTTAACAAATTGGAATAGAGTACGACATGCATTAAGATTTTCACTTCGACGAAAACCAAATTTACAAATGAGTCCTATATTAATTCATACAGAACGAACAATTCCTGTTATTAATATTTTAAATGATAATGATAATGATCATATACAAGATAATATTAATGAAAAGAAAAAAAAAAAATCTTTAATAAATATTGATAATCAACGAATTCTTACAGGTGAAGATACTGATCAAGATGATGAATGTATTGAATATAATAGAGTACAACATAAACGTCAACTTTACAAAAATTATCCAATTAATTCATCAAATAATGAACGACAAGATATATCAACATCAATTTTATTTAATCATTCATCGACACTTGATGATGATACTTTATTAAGTCGCAAACAATCGAGAATTGGTATATTAGATTTTCATTATTACAATTAGATGATATATATTTCTTGTTATAGCAATTTGGTAGATTTATTCTTTTTGTTTTTTTTTTTTTTTGATGTCAATTATAGGATATAAGTGAAGATTATATCAATTATAGAGTACATAGAAATATTATTGGTGATAATCTCACCCTAGACAACTCTCAATAGAAAAATCCTCCAGAGATTC